TTGACAAATAGGAGAAACCAAACTCTCCTCCTCACAGTGGTCAGCTATGGTTTATGTGCTGCTGACATCAGAGCAGAAGATGGATGAGTTTAATCTAAAACAGTTTGTTGGAACCCAAAATACAGCACATGAAGTTCTTCAGAAGCTGCTGCCTGTGATTAAAGAATCCAGATCAGTTCAGTAAGTCACACTGACAACAATCATACACTGATAAAACATGGAAATATTTATGGTTTTAGTGTGAACTGTCTGACCAGAGCTATGAAAGGAGAAATTCATATATATCACACATCATTTATACCAGTGTTTGCTGAACTGAGAGACTGAAGAGTGTCATTGTTCTCTACAGGTTGAGGGATTGTGGAGTCACAGATGAAGGTTGTGCTGCTCTGGCTTCAGCTCTGAGATCAAACCCCTCACATCTGAGAGAAATGGATCTGACTGGAAATGAAATGGGAGTGTCTGGACTGAATCTGCTCTCTGATGAACTGAAAGATCTTCACTGTAGACTGGAGAAACTGCAGTAAGAATGTATACAAGTCCAGCATACTCCATCATTATCATCCCACTGTAAATAATGAATGATATACAAAAAAGTTAAAAGTAAAGTAAAAAAAAAGTGCAGTCAGATAACTGAAGAGAATGTTTTCTTAAACTTAAAGGGTTAGTTCACCCAAAAATGAAAATTAGATTGTGTTTTACTTACCCTCGAAGCATCCTAGGTGTATATGACTTCTTTCAGATGAATCCAGTTGGAGTTATATAAAAAAATTGTCCTGGCTATTCCAAGCTCTATCATTGCAGTCAGCGGGTGTTGCAGTTGATAAACTGGAGAAACTCTGGTAAGATTATATAAATCTCTCAGCATCCTCCTAAATTTTGCTCCTTTGTTGATTATGAAGAAAATTAAAACCAAAACTGTGTCATAAAGAAAGTGTCCTGTCAGTTAATTGAAAAATATGCTGTTTTAATTTTCATTACATTCTTTCCAAAGTGTTTGACACAATTCTAAAGTACTATAAGATATTATAGGTTGAGTGGATGATCTAAAAACAGCTGCTTTATATCATACAGATGTGTGTTGATGATTTGGGGTATTTACAAAAGAATTAAACAGTTCTGACATGTTCTATGATATTGAAACTAACCCCCTCAAAACACATGTAGAAGCAGGTCTGAACTGAGAGATGTTGCTGTGTTTGGCTGAGCACTCATTGAGTAGCTCGCCAGTGTGTTAGATTTATCCATTGCATAAAATTAATATGTTTGACCAAAGTTTTGTTGGCAAACAAATTTATTGGTTAATTTAACAGGGTTTCTGCAGGATTTTTAAGCTCAAATTTAAGACTTTTTTAAGACCTGCACAAATAAAAGTAATACCATATGAGCGGGGTAGGGCAATGTCTATAGTACCATATTAAACTGTAAAATTACTATAAAAGCATTATTTATGGTTTTCACAAAAACTAAACGTTTTATAAAATGATAAACTTTACATTTCAGCCTTCAAACCACTTTTAAGAAAATAGACGTCAAAAGTATTAATTATTATATTAATTTAAACAATTATTATC